GATAGGAAGGTTGTATAGTGGTTGTTTATCCTTGGTTTAAGAAGTTTTAAGTCTATTCTTGAATAACTAACTATATCAAAACTATGTCAATTTGATGAAGGAATTTGGGGAATCTTTTAATATATATAAACTGATTTTAATTAGATGTGTAGAACTCTTGATAGTATGATTATTGGTTAGTTATTGTTCACTCTTGAGTATGAAGTTCAATCGGGAGTTGGTTGTCTAGTTACCCGAAAATTTGACCGGTTGAGATTAGGAGTTTTAGAAGTCTATTATGTTCGGGAGCTGGTTGTTTGTTGAATTCCCCTTATGCATAAGTTTTAAGGTTTTGGTTAAAAACATGAGGTTTTATTGATCAAATGTAAACAATGTATATAGTTGCTCAATCGAAGAACCGTTGCCCGTTGATGCTTTATACGCACGATCAAGGGTAAAAACTCCATGTGAATCAGGTAAGTCATCACCACCTATACATGATAGTTTGAAATGAAAGAAAAATGGAAGTCTAGCTACCAATGAATTGGATAGGTTTGCTTGAATGCTTGAATGTGTATGGTATTATATTATGTGAATGTCATGTTATGTGTATATATTGATAGGTGGTGTTGATGGAGAACTTGTTGAGTTATCAAAGTAAGGTATCCAAGTTCTATGTTAATGTTAGGTTGGATGTATATGAACTCAAACCAAGAATGAAAGTTGTGATGGTAATGATATCACATGAATGATAAGAAATGTTATAAGGTAGCCGTTCCCCCAAGTAATCACCTGAGCTGAACGGAGCGGGATCTCCTTCCGCGGGGAGTCTCGGAATTACTTCTGATGGCTGCGGGCTAGCTACCCAAGGTCATTAGCGAGGGGCCAGGACACGAGCTACGGGCCCATCAGGTTAAGTAATAAGATAAGAAGAAAGAATAATGAATGAGGAAATCTTTTAGATTTTGTTACATGATGTGTATTTTACATGATATGAATATGGTGTGAATAGGTTATGTGTATGATGTATTCTAGCTTATGTATCTAATTATGGCTAGCTAAGACTCAGTTATTTTAGTGGATGTAATGGTGACTTGCCAAGCGAATTTGGCTTACGAGACTTCTGTTCTCTTGTGTCTCATGTATAGGTAATGAATGAAGAATGAAAGCCTGAGAAAATGTTCAGGTCGGGTGGCGAGGCTGTGGATGGGTTAACAGAAACGACCTGGTTGTGTGATAGCCGTTATATTTACTTGTGTTTAACATAAGTATTTATAAGTATTTGTTGAAGAAAATAAGAGAAATTGGGAAAATATCTTGAGAATGAGAGTTAGAGCATAAAACATTGTGATGAACGGCTTTTGGGACCAAAAGGATGACGTTTTGCCCATCATTTGAGTATAACATATTGTATAGAACTCCAAATCAGTCCATTCGAATTTCATGTGAATGGTAACTCAATAAGGTACAAATTTTATGAAGACATCATGGCCAGAATAGGAAAGGAACAATACTCAATCAACCGATAAAGTCAGATGTTGCTGGTGGGATTTTAGGATGCATACCTCTCAGTGTTTTATCCGTATCTGTTGATTGGATGAATACAATCACGTCATTCAAGTTTTTTTGGATAGAAGACTTCATTATCTACAACTTTGGTGAAGGAAGCATGTCCAAATTCGTAGCGGAACATCTCCACACTCCCGGTACAAAAACCGACACGTTTTGATCCATTTCGGAGGAAGAGAAATGAAGTACATTTTTGGGCGCAGCAACCGGCGTCGGTCGGTCTTGAACCGGTGCCGGTCGGAACGTTTTTTCTCGCACAAATGAGCCTGTTTTCAACCGAGGCCGGTCATCTGACCAACCGGTGCCGGTTGGGTCGATTTTCTGCTAAAAAACAGCATGGTGCAAGCTGATTCTTGATGGGAAAACCCCATCTTCCTCAATGCTAATCAAATATTGCTTCCATACCTCATTGTTGGGTTCTAATAGACTAAAACATGTCATTCTTTAGCCTATATAAAGCCCTCAATTCATCATACACACACATTCCATTCCATAGATTAATTCATAGCTTTTATATTTTGTTCTTGCTATTTTTCTTCAAGTTCTTTGGAGAAGAAGCTATTTCTCTCCTCTACAATTGGTTCTAGGTAATTTTTCTTGTATGTTATTGTATTTATTTTTTCTTAGTAACACTTTTGTAATTAATATGAGCATTAGAGGCTAAATTCTTAGCTAAGGCTAGGGATGAACTTATATGCCAACTAGGTGTTTGATAAAAGTTCTAAACCCATAAATTGTGATGTATCCTTTATATATTGATTATTTATGACTATGGTGTACAACATAGAAATATGTTAAATTTAGTTTATACGTGCAATTAACGTTGAAGTCTAAACTATGAACATTAAAGGATAAACATATACAGTACCGAGAATAGAAATATATCTGGTCTTATATGATACGTGTGTGATATCTTGATATTCAACGGGGTTTTCGGTAGATGAATGTAAGCCGTAACGGGACTTACACGTAACGAAAACCACGCTCTCGCTGCCTTAACCGGAGTTGAGAATATATTAGCGACATCGTATTCATAATTATTGGCAAAGAACTAATATTCAACCCTATTAAAGCATTTAAGTGATTCCCGAAGCCTTAGTTGTTATTATCATTCATCTTAAATTTAAAATTAGTTAAACGATTATCTTCTTAAAAAAAGTGAAAAGCCAAAAATACCAAACACATATCAAAATCCCTGCACTTTACTCATTTCTTCATTTAAAGTTATCTACTCTCGGACTTGAATTAAACAACGTTTCCTTGTGGATTCGACCTGGTATTTTACCGGAATTTATTACTATATCGGCACTTGTACACTTGCAAGTTTAGCCCGATCATTGTGTCTCATGTTTTGTTGTTTTACTATGACACTTTTATGAGTTGTTTTATGTTTTGTTTTAAAAAATCCTGATCATGTGTGATGACTTTGTTTTAAGCGTGATTGTTGTTGGTCTTTTGACATTTCAGTTATAGAGTTTTCTTATGTATATAAGAAATAAAGTTTCATGACGAGACTTTGTATTCTGTAATATTCCGCTTTGTATATCGAGTCTTGTTTATGTTAAGTATGGTAATGGCCGTTTGGGGACGGTCGTTACAGAATCTTAACTCCTTCAATGAGGGTTCCCTTTATAAGGGGCTGAAAATCCCTTAGGTTTTTCGGTGTGGGATAAATCTCACTAGAAACCCATCTTTTCCCAGTTTTTGCATTTCAACTAGTGAACTTCGAGAATCAATTTCTCATTAACCTGTTATCCGTTCTGAGTGTACCATATATTGAATTGTAGCCCTTAGCAAGGACAATCCGAAACCAATTTGAACCGACCCAAATCGAAAGTGGACCCAACTCAAAATATTTCCCCAAATTGACCATTTAATGCAATTTTAACATATTTTTCCAACAATCCCCCACATGAATGAAAATTGATTTTCGAGACTTAAAAAAGACACGAACATAGGAGGAAACATTGTGTTCACCAGGTGATCCTTGCAAACGGAGAGGTAAGTTTTATCCTTTGAACCTTCCATTGTAAAGACATGTTTATTTACTGGCTGTCTAGTAGACTCGATATCCTTGAACTATACTGCCGTCGTGTAAACATTGACTTATCTTTACACAAAACCTTCCAACTTTGTTCCGTTCTCATGTGTGTGTCCGTTTTGGCCATGGGTCACCATCCTGGTTCTGCAAGAGTTTCTAAAGAACTGAGCATGTACAGTTCTCCTTTGAAGCGGACCTCTTCTCTCTCACATAGGTGATTCTTTCACGAGTATCCCACATACTCTTACAATGTTATCAAGTAGATCAACATTTCAGAATCATTAAAGCAAACTTTTTTGCTAACCTTGTGCGGGAGTCACTGTTTCAACGAGGAGTGGGTAGGAGTCAGGGACCCCCATAGTGACTATCTTTCGCTCTATAATTTAGTTGTCCCTATTGAACCTAGGACCAACTAGGATGGGTATCCACTATAGAACTTTTCAATTCACGGGCTTTAGTCCCATTCCTCGTGAGATCTTCTCCAACAATTCTCTATCCAATGCCTTGGTTAGCGGATCTGCTATGTTATCCTTTGACTTCACATAGTCAACAGTGATAACACCCGTTGTGAAGAGTTGTTTAATGGTGTTATGTCTACGATGAACATGTCTAGACTTACCATTATACATGTTGCTCGGCACCCTTCCAATTGTCGCTTGACAATCACAATGTATGCATATTGGAGGGACAAGCTTTTCCCAACTTGGAATATCCTCGAGAAAATGGCGTAGCCATTCAGCCTCTTCAGTGCACTTAGCCAAGGCTATTAGCTCAGACTCCATCGTGGATCTAGCTATTACCGTTTGTTTCGAGGATTTCCATGACACGGCTGCACCTCCTAAAATGAAAACATATCCACTTGTGACTTTGAGTCCTTAATGTCGGATATCCAACTAGCGTCGCTATACCCTTCAAGTAGAGCTGCATATCTTCCATAGTGCAGTCCAAGGTTTTGGGTTTTTCGTAAATACCTCAAAACCATTACTATTGCCTTCCAATGTTAATCACCAGGGTTACTAGTATATATATATATATATATATATATATATATATATATATATATATATATATATGTATGTATATATAGGGGATGGTTCAAATACAAAGATCTCTTCCCATGCAAATGCACAAAATTCGACCAAAATCGCGGTGGCAATTTCGTAAATATGTTGCACTTTTTCGTTACCGCGAAAAAGTGAAACAGAAACACGCAAAAGTGCAAGCGAAACATGCAAAAGTGCATATCTTCGCACTTTTCACGGGAAGAGGTTTTTGTATTTGAACTCTTCCATATATATATATATATATATATATATATATATATATATATATATATATATATATATATATATATATATATAAACATACAGAGAGGAAGACAAAACCAACTCTAGAGTAATCAAGTATGTACCTGCTGCATAGGAACCACTTTAGCGAAATCTCCATTAGGGTAATACCCGAACCAGGAACTTTCTTGTGGCAAGATAATTGTGTCACCCATAAACTGCATATGTAAGGGTACCATTCAGATTAAGACACAAAATTATACTTCATAATTAATTATGAAACTCATCAATAGCTTGCTAGCACAATATTATATATATATATATATATATATATATATATATATATATATATATAGAGAGAGAGAGAGAGAGTAATATTCTCGTCAGTCTGGACTGACCAGATTCTTTGATGGCCTTCTGGGTTGATTTTTTGATGAAAATTGTGAGCATGGTTTTCATGAAGTGTATAATATTCACACAAAAGTTTATCAAAAAACTCATTCGGGAAGTCTAGTTAAATAAATTCTTGAAAATCACTTCATTTTTATGCATATTTTTGCACAATGTTTTTCAATAATTTATTTAATTGTCTTCTTGATTGAACTTTTTATAACATTTTGTGTGAATATTCTACACTCCATAAAGAACATGCTCACAATACTTCATCAAAAAGTCAACCTAGAAGGCCTTGAAAGGGCTTTGCCACACGGCAGTTTTGGTTAGTCCGGACTGACTAGAATATAACTCTATATATAGGAGGCGGATGTGGTACAAAGTGTCTTTAATTTATTGCGCAAAACTTTGTAAAATGCATCTTTACGCTATTTTTATTGCATATTGGTGTTCAAATTGTTGCATATTATTTTGCAATGAAATAAACAGTTGCATATTAATGTCCAAAGTGTTGCCCCCGAAAAAGTTTAGTTTAATTACAAAATGCCAACGTGTGTATACAACCATTATATCAATTCAACATATAACCAAAATGAGTTTGTATTTTGTAAATTATGAGGACTTTTGTATTTGATCCCACACACACACACACACACACACAAACAAGAGATCAAATATAAATACCTCCTAACTTCCAAACTAGAAACTCATCTTATCCATCCGATGAGTTGATCTAAAGGCTATAGAGACACAGTGGTATTTTGATAATAAACCAAACTTTTTTCGGGTGCAATACTATAAACGTTAATATGCAACTGCTAATTTCATAGCAGAATAATATGAAACACTTTGCACGTTAATATGCAATACAAATATCATAAAGATACATCATAGAAATATTTGTACAATAAGCACTGTTTGTACCTGGTCCGCCCTCACATATACATATACATATACATATACATATACATATACATATACATATACATATACATATAGAGTAGGGATCATATAAGAATATGATCTAAGGAGAGAAATGAGAATGATCCTCAAACCTTGGATTTAGGTATCGTCCATCATGTAAATAAGAAATGAGCATTGAACGGTTACCATTATTGAATATTTTTTGTGTAAAAATGAAATACGCCTCATGAAAATCCAATTAGGTAGCATATATACATACCAAGACAAGAACGAGTTGGCTAATACTGCTGAATCGTTTTTTGCGTAGTGCACTCTCACTGTCTTCGACTTCATTGTTTATCTTGGGAAGAAATTTGCACTCTCTCAAGTACGCAGGGATATCCTATACACATCACAAAAAAATTAAAAACAAGAATTTAATTAACTAGAAGAAGACATTAATTACAAGAAAAAATGACATGTATATTACTAACACAGTTTCTCGGACAAAAATATGGCTAGTAATGTTTTTTGGACAAAAATATGACTAGTCACTGTGTACGAGTAATTGGACAAAAGTCACTATAGTGTATTTCAGAGTAACAAGTCACTATTAGATGATGAGTCACTGAGAACTAGTCACTAAACATGTCATTAAACTTGTTTGGATTTTTTTAAAATAATCATATTTTTGTGTTTTGAATTTAATTTAGTAATATTCATGGAAAAAAATTTTCTTACAAGCAAATTTCTTTAAGAAAAAATTCCACTGATATTAGTCATGGAAAAATGATGGACAAAAATGTGACTTGGTAACTTTTATTGACTATAATTGTATTCAAAGTTACTAAGGTGTAGTGACTATGATGTAAACTTTGAACACAATTATTGTCACTAAAAGTTATTAAGTAACATTTTCCCCCATAATAATTCTTATATTAGTAATATTTTAGGAAAAACTTCTTTCTTTAATTAGTACCCAACTACGTAGGTCAAGAAAGTCCCTTAATTAGTTATCTACTTTGATAAAAAACACTCTAGCATTTTAGTAAATAAGTGACCAATTTTACCGTCACATAAAAGTGCAGTATTGAAATCGAAAAGTGATGTGTGACGCGCGAAACAACAATGAAAGTTTTTCACTTTTCACGTTATGCATCCCTTTTACTTATATAATAAAAGTCAAAGATTATACAAGTGTTGAACTTTGTTTAAAAGTGTGTTTCAAATATGAAATAATTACATATTTATGACTAAAATAAAGATTGTTTATAAAAATGTTGGCTCTTATGTGTAATCAATGTTCTAAAAGGCTCTAGTCACTAGTTGGGTGCCAGCCCAATGCCTAGTGCCTAGGTGAGACTATGCAAAGACACATAAATTGTAGTTTATCAAGAGTTTTGCATAAATATGGTAAATAATATTGTGTTTGTGTGCATAAAAATTCACACACACATACAAGTTAACATGCATGAGACATATAATTGTCACATTTAATAATATATTTTAGGAGGATTCTATGGTACCCTCAAGGTACCATACCTCTTTGTCCACATGGACCAATTAGATTACAGTTGAATAATTTAAACATAAATTAAAAATAATATTATGATTTGGACCAATCAAGTGAATGATAGGCCAGGTACGGTACCCTATTTTTTAAATGGGTACCGTAGTTGTCACCTATATTGTAACTACTCACTTATCTTCATTATATAATAAAAAATTAAACAATAATATCATTTAAGAATAACATTCTTCATGTGTCATGCGTGTTTAAACTTAAATGTACATATATCTCTAAGAAAAATAAGATAAAAAAGCAAAAAATATCTGGCGCTAGACGCCTTAGGTGGCCGATTAAGAGCTTTGGGAGGGACCTAGGCATGCACCATAGGCAGCCGACTCACCTAGTCACCTAGTTGCCAAACTAATTACTCGAGGAGCCTAGACTATAATTAGGGCACCCGACCACTGTCTAGATCAATTTTAGTCTAGATCAAAATTATACTTAGGTGGCCGGTCAAGAGATTTGGACGGGACCTAGGCATACACCATAGGCGACCGACTCACCTAGTCACCTAGTTGCCAAACTAATTACTCGAGGAGGCTAGACTATAATTAGGGCACCCGACCACTGTCTAGACAATAATTAGCCTAGACAGGGACTTGTCGGACACATAGATCAATTTTTAGAAGTGTGTAATAACTACATATATAATTATAGTACGGAGTAGTAACATAGTTGTGGGCACTTATGTTCAATTTATTCACTTAAGTGACCATAACAATATATTGTAGTACGGGATATTTTGACTCCGCACCCTGCTTTTTGGGTGATATTGGACTTTGCTTCCTGTTTTCAAAACTTTTAGACTTTGCACCTTGTTTCACCTAAAAATTCTTTGCCTTTGCACTCCATTCAGGAACTCTTCTTTACAAAATTTTGTACGATAGGGTGCAAAATTTAAAAGTTTTGAAAATGGGTTGCAAAGTTCAATATCACCCAAAAAGTGGGGTGCAAACTAAAAATTCCCCTTGTAGTAACTATTAATCATATATTGTAAATAAATTTATGTCAATATATTTTTGAAAAGACCTGTTCAAATATTACATACCATGCATGTTCACAATGTGTCAAATTAAACACAAAATAATTCTCCATCGAAACAAAACGAAAAAAGCTTTTGTATATTGCTGACACAATATTTTCAAAATATAAGCTCTTCTCAATTAGGAAACCAGCACTATAACATTTGTTGGACGCCCTAACACATCCACTCGCGTACACATATATATTAGGGTCCGATTCAATTATAAAAAACTTCTTAACATGAAAAGTGCATAATTTTTTATTTTGTTTCACTACACTGAGATTTATATTCCAATACTACACTCTTTCGCGATGACAAAATGTTCTTTTATTTACGAAAGTGACGCCATATTTTCAACCCAATTTGTTGCATTGTTGACTATTTTAAAGCCCCCAGCACGGGCAGATTCAGAAATCTGGGATGTCCTGGGCTGAATAGTAATTATACTAAGCCTAAACATTAGCGGGGTGGGCTAAGTATGAAAAGTAGAAAATATTACACTTAATTAGTTGAAAAAAAAACCTAAGTTACCCTGACCTTCAACACATCATAGCGCATACGTAGATCCTCCCCTACCCCTGCCCTTCAGATATTAAGTCCACTGTATAAATGTCGTTTTCATTTTCACAATAATACTCTTTTTATATTTGATCCTATACATATATTGCGTCTCTCAATATATATATATATAAGATCAGGTGAGAAGTCCCTCTTAAAATGAGAAGTGAGAAGCAATCTCAGTCCTTGGATTTGCATCTAATCTTACAACGCAGTAAACTTATAGACTGAATATATGAACTTATAACCAATAAATCATAACTTATAAAGCTCTCCATCATAATTAAGAAAATGCCACAGTGTCCAAAAATTTTCAAGGTTTCCAGGCTTATTTTTTTTGCGGTGGCATTTTCGTAATTATTTTCGACGTGGTTTATAAGTTATGATTTATTGGTTAAAAGTTCGTGTTTTTAGTCTATTAGTTAAATTTCGCAGTTCTCAGCATAAGAGCACTTCTCACCTGATCCGCTCTCTCTCTCTCTCTCTCTCTCTCTCTCTCTCTCTCTCTCTCTATATATATATATATATATATATATATATATATATATATATATATATATATATATATATATGATATCAAATAGAAACCATGCTTAAAATACTAACCTACAAACTCAATAATATGCAACATTTTGTACTTCAATATGCAGTACAAATAATGTAAAGATGCACACTGTGAACTTCAATACGCAATACAAATAATATGCAACACTTTGAGTTTTAATATGCAATACAAATAATATGCAACACTTTGAACTTCAATATGCAATACAAATAATGTAAAATTGCACAGTTTGTAGATTAGCATGAGAGGACTAGTTTGTATGTGATCCCACTCCTATAATGATAGAGAAAGAGGATCACTTACAAACTCATCCTAATTTACAAAGTGCAAATTAATCATGGACATCATATCAATGAGGTTATGGTAGATTTGAGAGAAAGATGGGAAAATTCCCAACCAACTCCATGAGTTACGGTGCATATATATACTTCGTATTTAATAAAGATGGGAGAACTTCCACCAACGGTTGAGTATTTAGTGGCCCAACCAATTCTTACCCTTGATCTTGTAATTTTCGACGGATGAGATCAATTTGTATTTTGTATCAGAAGCATACTTTGTATCTGATTTTAACCCTATATATATATATATATGTATATGTATATATATATATATATATATATATATATATATATAGAGAGAGAGAGAGAGAGAGAGAGAGAGAGGTTTAAATACAAAGTACTACTTATATGAAAAATGAGAAGTAATCTTAGCCGTTAAAATGAGAAAACGAGTGGATCAGATCAATTTTTAAGGAAAAAAATTGGTGCCAAAAGTGTAATTATTATTGTTTTTTTTGAAAACTAACGTGACAAATGTGCATCACTACGGAGGAAAAGTGCATTAGACTAACAATAAAGTGCATTACTTTTTGGGAAAAAATAACAAGTATAAAGATCGTTCCTGATGTTTTTTTAGAAGTGTGAATGTGCACCATTACATATTGCATATGCACTTTTGCTATTATGTATTACACATTTTTGTTGATCGTGAGTTTTGATCTATACCATCCATTTTTAAGTAATCAAGGGCTTAGATTAATTCTCACTTTTAATGGGAAGACCTCTTTGTGTATATATATATATATATATATAGGTTTTGGTTCAAATAAAAACATTATCTTAGGAGAGAAATGAGAATTAATCTGGATCGTTAGATTTGCTTTAAATGAAATTCATTGTGCATTTGATGAAACTGTAATATGTACTAGGTGAAATTGAAATGTGCAGCACAAAAGGTACGATACAATGATATTATTTGAAGTTGAATTGTGCATTGGGTGAAATTGAAATGTGCATTAGGTGAAACTGGAATGTGTAGAATAAAAGGTACGATGTGGAGTTATTTTTGTACCTTTTATTTCGCATATTTCAGTTTCAACTAACGCATACTTGAGTTTAATTTTTTATTTTGCAAATTTCAATATCGTCTAATGCACAGCTCAGTTTTACATAATACAATCCAACGGTCCAGATTCATTCTAATTTCTCCATATATATATATATATATATATATATATATATATATATATATATATATATATATATATATATATATATATATATATATATATAGTAAAAACCTCTATTAGAATGAGAACACATTGGTGAATGAGAACATTTAATCTCCATCATACCATTTATATTTCTAACTAATGGCTATAGTTATAAAGGTGATCGACACTTTTGTAATTATTTTACAATAATTATAAAAAAGATCATGTACGAATATATTACATATAATTATGCATTAAATAGTCAATATTCTATTTTTGATGTACATATTTATCTTCCTTTTTGGTCTCCGAACTCTCCGTATAGCAATTACGGTAAAGAGATCTTTTAGCTAGGTAGGTACCTTATTCGATTTCCCTACAATTGTATATAATGGAGAGCCATGCAGAAATAAAAAGCAGAAGAGGAATCTGCCTCTTTTCATTACTATTGATACGCTAAGCCTTTATTATGGTATCAGAGTCTGTGATTTAGCTCGTACATGTGACTTTGGCAAATAACGATGATGGTAAACCCACAAGCGACGGATGGGCAGAGAATTAACTCGGACATACCAGGGAATAAAGGTGGACGAGGGAAAGACCGAATTGGGAGCTGTGGCGGGGAGAACTTTCATAGGGGGCCTGGTGCACAAGCAAATGCAATTTGCGGCAAGAAAATAAAGCACTGCCCGAACCCAAATATTTTTCTACTCTTTTGGCAGACCAGTAGAGATCTTTCTTGGAATTTATGAAAAAATTCCAAGCAGGTGATGGGGATGAAAATTAGCAGGTGGTGTAACACATGATAATTGGCTTCTTGACACAAGGGCTTCGTATCATATGACAGGAGATAAAAATGTTATGTTTGATATTACTCTCGTGAAGTCTATCCCCGTTACTCTTCCCAATGGAAATATTACTTTTGCCATCCATATTGGGTGAGTGGTCATAAGACCAGGAATGACTCTTGAGAGAGTACTTTTGGTGCCCAACTTGACATGTCACTTGATTTCTGTTGGTCGGCTTATTGATGATTTACCTTTTCACGTTATATCTATAAACAATTTTTGTGTGATACAGGACCTCACTTTGTAGACGCTGATTGGAGTGGGTGCACGTCGTGGCGGGGTCTATTATTTGTGTGGAACTGAAAATGTGCAAGCTTCACATGTGGTTAGTGGCATAGACGATTTGCAGCATCGAAGAATGGGTCATCCCTCATCTTCGGTAATACAATTGCTCTCTGTTAGTTAAAATAAAGTTGGTGTTCGTAGCGATTTTAAGAAAAGTTGTGATATTTGTGCTAGAGCCAAACAGACACGTGAATTTTTTACTCCTAGTTTAAATCATGCCCTGCGTACTTTTAAACTTATTCATTGTGATGTGTGGGATCTGTACTGTGAACCAAGTACGTACTTGCAGTGCATATTATTTCTTCACTATTGTGGATGATTATTCGTGTGCTATTTGGGTTCATATGATGACTGGAAAAATGAAGGTTCTAGTCATTATGAAGCATTTTCTTTCAATGTTCAGTACTCAATTTAATACATCTGTTAAATTTGTGAGGGATGACAATGGGACAAAATTTTCTCCGTTAAGGGAATTTTTTCTCAATCAAGGAATTTTATTTCAAGCTTCGTGTGTTGGGACTCCACAGCAAAATGGTCACGTTGAACGAAAGCACCGCCATATTTCAAGGGGAGTGCATTTTGACTGCCTGGTATTTAATACCGGACACCATCCATGATTAATGGTGGAAAAACTCCTTTTGAATGTTTGTATGGTAAGGTGCCATCTTATGATCACATCAAAACTTTTGGTTGCTTCTATTTTCATTATAAAATCAGTGGCAAGTTTGGAACACACAATCAAAAATGTGTTTTCTTGGTTATTCGTATACTCAAAGGGGATGGAAAGTGTTACATTTGGACTCACACAAGGAGTTTGTCTCTACAAATGTTCGATTCGTTGAGAATATTTTTCCATGTCTTGATTCTAATCATGTGGTTTCAACAAATGTGGACAATGAAGAATCTCATATGCACAATAGATCCTACATACATGAGGATGATGCTCTTGATTTTGGTCCCACTGACACCTTGGGGCAACATATCACTATTTCCCATAATGATGGCACATTTGTACCCCATGAGTACTCCATGCATGCGACTCAACAGGAAGATGTGGGCACTCAAGGACCACCTCCTGCCATGCAAACTACACAAGAAATTTCCAATCTTCTTGGACGGGGTTTGCGACGGAAAATCCCATCCATCAAACTTCGTGATTTCGTTCAAACACATGTAGCACAGATTGACCCCCATGACTTCACTGATCCGTCTATATTTTCAGGTAGTCCTTATCCCTTAACTTGTTATGTAATTTATAATATTTACTAAGTGCACCATAGAGCCTTTCTTGAAGCTATTTCACATGAGTAGGAACCTCTTTCTTATCAAGCTGTTGTTCGTGATCCACACTGGCGGGAGGCCATGTGGCGTGAGATTGATGCTTTGGAGGCAAATGGGACTTGGAACATGGTTGATCTTCCCACACACACGAAACCTATTGATTGTAAATGGGTTTACAAAATTAAACATAATAGCAATGGTTCTATTGAACAATTTAAAGCAAGACCGGTAGTGTGTGTGAATCACCAAGTGGAGGGTATTGATTATCATGAGACTTCTGCTCCTGTCGCTAAAATGACGACTGTGAGAACTCTCTTAGCAGTGGCGGCGTCAAAAAATTGGGAGCTTCATCAAATGGATGTGGATAATGTTTTTTTTGCATGGACATTTGGAGGAAGAAGTCTATATGCATCCACCCCCTGATTTTTCTCTTTCTCAGACCAACCAAGTGTGTCATGTACAACGTTCACTTTATGGGCTCCGACATACACCTCAGTGTTGGTTCTCTCTACTTAGTACTGCTCTCATAAAATACGGGTTCACTCGCTCCTATGCCGATTACTCGTTGTTCACTTTAACCAAAGGGAACGATTTTATTTGTATACTTGTTTATTTTGACGATATACTTATTACTGGAACTAGTTCCTCTCTTATTGTTGAGCTTAAGGCCTATCTTGCTCGGTGTTTTCCTATGAAGGACCTTGGTTGTCTTAAATTTTTTTTTGGGCCTCGAAGTTGCTCGTAGCCCAAAAGGAATATTTTTATGTCAATGGAAGTATACTTTGGATCTCCTCGATGAGCTCGGATTGTCTGGTAGTAAACCTACAGATTTCCCCATGGAGTAGAGTCACTGTTTGGCTATCACTCAAAGTCCTCTTTTTTCACATCGTGATCGCTATAGGCGTGTCATTGGTAAGTTGATTTACATAACTTTAACACGTCCCAGGTTGAGCTATTGTGTTCATATTCTTGCTCATTTTATGCAGTCTCCCCATACTGAAACTGGGAAGCCGTTCTTCGTGTCCTTCGCTAACTTAAGAGAAATCTAGGGAAGGGTATCCTACCCCGTGTTGATTGTGACTTGCATCTTCAGGGCTATTTTAATTCGGATTGGGCAGCTTGTCCCGTTAGTCATTGATCTCTCACTGGGTATATTGTCCTGTTAGGTGGTTCTCCCATTTCTTGGAAGACCAAGAAGCAACCTACGAGACATTGTAGTAATTTCCATTTGTGTGTTTGCACTTTTAATTGGTTTTATTGATTTTTATTTTGGAAATTACACACTTTTGGTGTAATACTATACTTTGTTAGATATTTGTAGCTTGTTTAAATTGGGATTATTCTGAACTTAAAACAGGTCAAAGTCATCAAAAGGATCAAAGAATGAATCCCAAAGACCAAATAATGTGCAAAGGGACAAGATCAATTGAAGATTTGGAAAATTGTTCATACACCCGGTCGGGTATATGCAATACCCGGCCGGGTATTGGTCGGATTCTAGTGTCGAAATCAAATCCGGAGAACAAGATATTGTGGCTAAGTATATTGGAAGAATTAGTCTCATACCCGATCTGGTAGACCGACATACCCGGTCGGGTATGTGTGATTTCCGTAGCTTCCAGGAAACTGCTGAAGGTACCCGATCGGGTACCCTATATACTCGGTCAGGTACACAACCCTGCCACCTCCAAACACCTATAAATGTAACCTTTTTCCTTCAAATTCAATTCACCAATTCCTTTATATTTCTAAGCTCAGTTTAGTCAAGTACTTTCTTTATATTTTTACAATGTTTAGTCTCCAAATGAGGAGCTAAACCCTTCATCTTGGTTTTCCTACATCGAAGCTTATGATTCGTAAGTTGTGAGTTATGTTCTTTGATCATCTTCCTTGAATATTAATTACATTCCTATTTTATACTCCCTCCGTCCCTTAAAACTTTGTCAAGTTTGACCGCCACAGAGATTAATAAAGTAAAAACTGTGTGGTTGAGGTTTGTGCAGAGGAGATAGAAGTAACTGGAACCACAAATTCTTTAATTAAAAGGGAAAGTGACAAAGTTAATAGGATATCAAAAAAGGAAAGTTGGCAAAGTTTTAAAGGACGGAGGGAGTATCTCGTATTAATATTTGAGCATTATTTAAAGGATCGACTAGTTTTGTTTCATATATTAATTATTACTAGAATCGATCAACGAAAACACTTGTTAATCGTTCGGTCCTTTCAACGGTAGTAAACTTGGATTATTAATGCATGCGTCTCATGATTAATAATCTAAGGGGAATTAATTATATTGATTAAACCAATAACCGCTTGTGTTGAGGTTGTCAATATCAATCGATTTCATCTTAAGTTTTATTGCTACTATCGGGTCAATATACGACACTTGTTCTATATTGACTTAATAGTAAGTTTTATTAATGAACACGTCTCGTTATTAATAACTAACCTTGATGAATTGGAAATACACCACGATTGAGTATTCGAGAGGAATATGGTTAATGAGATATCCGGGATCGGCGAACGTTTCATTAAGTAGAAATAAGCAAAACCAAGTCTCAATCTCTATTTTATTAAACCACATAAGTCATTCATCTTAGTGTTAAATTAATTAAATCAAATCAATCTTAAAAATCCCCTTTGTTACAATTTAATTAAAAGAAAGATATTCCTTTCCCTGTGGATACGATTCTTACTTCACTATACTACGTATAAGTGTTGTATTGAATATTATTTTGAGGCAAACAACGACTTTAGTGCCGTAAGGTGTCCCGCTCCTCCGTTGAAGCTGAGTATCGCTCTATGTGTCTATGACTACTGAGGGGTGTGAACTTCTTTGGCTCAAAAGTCTCCTCCGCTCACTTTGTGTTTCTCACTCACGGCCCATGGACGTATTTTGTGACAATCAGGCCGCTCTCAATATCGCCTACAATCGCGTCTTTCACGAATGCACCAAACACATAGAGATGGATTGTCACTTTATTCGTGACCTTATTCATGACGATGTTATTGCTACTCGGCACCTCAGGTCTTCCATGCAACTTGCATACATTTTTAATAAGGCATTTGGCGCTTAGCAATTTCATTTTCTCTTATCCAAGTTGGGCGTGCTCTCTCCGACCGCTCCAACTTAAGGGTGTGTGTGTTAATATATTACATATACTTATGCATTAACTAGTCAATATTCTATTCTATTTTTGATGTACATATTTAATTATCTTCCCTTATGGTCTCCGAACTTTAATTTCCGTATAGCAATTACGTTAAAGAGAACTTTTAGCTAGGTAGTTACCTTATTTACTTTCCCTACAATTGTATACAATTGTATATAATGGAGACCCATGAGGCAATACAAAGTAGAAGAGGAATTTGCCTCTTTTCATTATTATTGATACGCATAGCCTTTATTAGATTATATTTGAGTTTTGAGTAAGGAGAATTTGACTTTGCACCCCACTTTTTAGGTGATATTGAAATTTGCACCCCATTTTCAAAAGATTTTTGACTTTACACTCCATTTAATTTAAAAGTTCTTTAAGTTTGCACCCCATTCAATTTTTTTTGTTCACAAATGAAAATGTTTATGATGGGGTGCATTAGGTATACACAACAATTTCTCATTTTAAGATTGATTCTCGGTAGAAATATGCTCTACACATGTGTCTTTATATAACTTACATTCGGAAGCTTGATATAGCCACTAGGAGCCAAGTGTTCCTGCATGTAATAAATAGATTATAGTGAAGAAAAAATTCCATCAAAACCCACCAGCCATTAGGATATCAGAAATAAATAAGGAAAAGGAAATAACTTCATCCCATACAATAGATTGATACAATGAATGGAAAGTATATAACTACGGAGTATATAAAGTGGAGAGTGCAACGTTTCGATCATGTCTTTTAGCCGCATTAATAACTTAATTGTTAAAATTAATAAATTATTAAAAGATAGAATAATCTAGTCAATTGTTTCGAACATAAATATTAATTATATAGCGGTCTAATAAATTTAGAGACCATCTTCTAAATGTCAAAATGAAGCCTCACAAATGAACAAAAAAATCATAAATAATAAAAACTCACAAAGTTCAACAATATTAATTGTGTCCTAAGTGTTAATATAAAAAAAATACATGATTTAAAATAACTAAATATAATTATTATGCTATCATTTGAATAAAGCTGCCCTCCTTGTCATCTTCGAAGTAAAATCATCTATTAAATACTTGTACTCGGTCTTCTCTAATCACGTCTTTTTACTTATTATTATTATTATTATTATTATTATTATTGTTATTATTATTATTGTTGTTGTTGTTGTTATTGTTGTTATTATTATTGTTATTATTATTGTTGTTATTATTTTCATTATTATTTTTATTATTATTGTTATTATTATTGTTATTATTATTTTTATTATTATTGTTATTATTATTGTTATTATTATTGGTATTATTATTGGTATTATTATTGTTATTATTATTGTTATTATTATTATATTAAAACTGTATTTCTAATTTGGTATATAATAATATTACTTAGGAAAATTAATTTGGAGCCCCCAAAAATGATGGGCCTTGTTCCAGAGAACATGATAAACATGCTAAAAGACGGCTTTGAATTATTTTTATTTCACTTTGGATGCAAAATAAATAGGGAATTTAATTGGGAGATAAAATTGCGGTAATATGCTGAATTACACCGGTGAAATCACAATTTCCTCCCATTGATCCATTATTATTAACTGTAAGGACAAAGGAAAAAATTGATATACAACGGTAACATTGTATTAAGTACTCCATATTAAGTTTGTCTAATCTCGTCTTTGATCTCTGTCTATTTTACAACTATTTATATATAATTTGGTCCACTCTGGTCTATGAAAGTCTGATTTGATTTGATCTGACCTGTTTAAGTTTAGTCTATTTTGATCTGACATCGTAACGATAGAGATGAGAGAGTGAAATTAATGTAATTAGTCAATATAAACTATGTGTAGTTATTGATATTACTTGTACGTAGGGGGTGTAAACTCCCATTCCATAAAATATCCCGATTTGAGCACACCAGGGAAAAGGCTGCACAGTAATTAAAAAAATAAGGAAAATGTCACAATGCTGTATTAGTTCAATTCATCACTTATAATAAATCACATATACTCGAATCGTTTCAAATTGAAGCTCACTCCACAAGCTATAGTTGAAGAATGTCCTGCATTTGGTCCTCCGACTGATATGAAATTTTTCACCTGTAGTTTTTATGATTTATGATTATTATAATATGTGTAAATATATCCACGTTAGATGCAATAATGTTTTAAACATTAGCTAATGGAAATTTAACTAACATAAAAACAACATAGCAGGATATAACTTTTACGTAGTCATTACCAGTTTCTATAACAAATAATGATATTTCATTTTACTGTATATGTACGGGGATACAAACTATGGATGTTTTTATTGAAATCAAATTTTCTGGTTTAATTTGTTCTGAATTGGTTTAGTACGGTATATGTATGGTCTTTGTGTATTTTATAACTGGTGAAGTCTGACCTGATCTGTTCAGGTCTGAATCTGAAATAAGTACAATTAAAAACATCATATGTCTAGTCTGTGCATTAGTCCTATTTTACATGACTAAATTTGTCGTGTATCATATTTGGTAATATTTGAATGATCATAATTCTTTACGAAGTATTACTTTATTTACACTTTATCAATTCAATACTAATTTCACAAATCTAATTCTCTTAATAACCGCATCGCTCTCTCATGTATTAATCTTAAAAGAATAGAGGTAGTCATATTTTTGGAATGACTTTTGTAACTATAATCATATAAAAAGAATGACAAAAATATCACTTCCAGCTCTTGGTGAGACAAAAACATAATCAAATTTCGATTAAGACAAAAAAGTGACCACTAATATACACACACACGCGCACACACACACACACCTATATATATATATGGAAGAGTTCAAATAAAAAGAGTGCTCCCGTGCAAAGTGCGAACGATTGCACTTTTTCCTCACCGTGTTGCACTATTTCATGTTTCTGTTGCACTTTTCATGGCAGAAAAATTCGGTTTATTTACGAAATTGTCACCGCGTTTTTTTATCAAATTTAGTGCATTTTTGGCTCATTTTGAGCCACTCGATCTGAAAATGAATGCACGAGATTAATTCTCACTTTGCATGGGAAGACCTCTTTGTATTTGAACTCTCCCCTATATATATATATAGACTTATATATGCCCCCAAGAACCCTAATCTATTCTAATCTATTCTAACAATTAACATATTTATTTCAGCCCTTGGAAAGGAAATATCTCTTGAAGATCAAGTAAGAAAAGTAATGAGAAGTCTTCCTTCTACATGGAAAACCTAAAAGTACAACAATTGATGAAGCCAAACATCTATCAACTATGACTCTAGAAGACTTGACGGGTTCACTCATGACATATGAGTTAGGACTACAAGAGGAACATATATGGTGCATACAGTACAATGTAAGAAGAGAGAGAAATTGCTCTGAAGGCACAAGAGGAAGAAGACGAGTTCTACCCGATGGTTCAATGAGGATAAAGGCTTTAATAAAGATCTTAAAAGAACAATGGGTGTCGCTTGGGGAGACTCATCCAATGATGAAGGAAACAAGAGTGATAAGAGTTCAAATCAAGCTGGATTATTGATGTGAGTTTTCTCGCACTTAAAAAGGTTGTAGAAAAGTGATTGAAAGTACGAGTATCGTCTCCACAGGGACGGACAAAAGGGAATTAAAGATTAACTAAATTCAGCGATTAAAAAAAAATAAAATAAAATGCAATTGTGCGAGATTGGGTGGTTTGGAAAATAAATTAATGCGAATGAGCGAATAAAAATAATTGATTGGGTTATTCTTAATTAACGACGAAGGGAGCAGGGATGGATTCCGGGGTAATCAGATTTCTGGCAGATCAGGCTTAATTACATGAAATTAATTTAATTGAGCCTAGCTAATCAATACTAAGTTCTTACCGCTCTCGCGGCGTAGAGTACAATAATTTAGGGGACCAGGCTGATCTCACATGCGACAGGATCCTAAATTATTGCCAAAACGAGCGAGCTTACGGCCCCTTAATCACTACTAATCTCTTAGCGAGCGATTAAATATGTGTGAATGTGTCTCAGAATAAATTAGATTTCTCATAATTTATTCTACAAGCAATTGTATGTCTAGCCGCGGTTCCAGGTTACAAAAGATAGCAATTAAATTATTCAAACACAAATTAAACGACATTCATGCAATTAATCCATCAAGAAACTAGTCATACATCGTGATTAAGCCCTTCATCAATCCCAAATCCCTAATTTAAACTACTCCCGACTCATAGTTGAAGAATCAATAGAATTGGGAAGAATAGAAATAATTGTATTAATTAAAAGGAATGAACTTACAAATAATCCCAAGATCTTGAGAAAAATAGCGGAAAAACTACTCTAAACTCGTGCCTAGGCCTCTCCGTAATGTTCGCCCCCCCCCCCCCCCCTAAAAAGGGGTACGGAGGCCTTATTTATAGAAAAAGGGGGGGAAATACGAATTCTAGTCGAACTAGGACAATTTTTCGCGTAAAACGGGGGTTTTTCACCGTTTATCTAGTCCTGTTTTTCACCGTTTGTCTAGTCCGAGTTTGACAAGACTTCCTTCATGGAAGCTGTAGATAATGAATTCCTCTATCCACAACATTTTTCCGAATTGAATTTGAATCATCCAATCAAGAGATATGAATAAACTGGTGGAAGGTATCATTCTGAAATCGTAACAGGTATCATCTGACTTCATCGTCTGTTTTCATCTTCTTCCTCTCCTATTCTCGCAATGGTGTCTGCATATTAGTTGTAGCACTTGAAGATGGCTTTCATATTCAACTTGAATAGTGTTCTTTGGATGCTTCTACGAAGATATATGCTTGAACAATTGACATAAGGTCAATCTGAACGCCGTTTTCAAGCTCTATTTGTCTTCTTTTGATCCCGTAGCCAATCCTAGAGCTCTTTTGTCATCAAATCTTCATTGTGAACCTCCCGGTGACCTCCAAAGCTCTCATTTCACTCTAGAATGCTTCTCAAATCATCCCGTTTGATCCTAAAGCGCCGGTTCCAGGCTCTAAATTCCTGATTTTGACTCCAAATAACACAAAACTCGAACCGACGTCTCGTACACATAACTTGATCTAAAATTGAGATTTGTGACACCTAAAAGTTAGGGAAAACATAAAAAACCGATCCCAACATGCATCAAATGCGTGTTGTAATACGGACTTATCAGATTCCCCCACACTTAAGCTTTTGCTTGGTCTCAAGCAAACTGAACAACGGGACTTACGATAATCACCACACGGAATTCAAAACAATCAGCATGCACACGTAGTCAAAGGGATATTCATGGAACAGAAAGACTAAATCAAGAAAATTCTTCCCTAAATTACATCTTTGTACTCTAGCTAACTTAAATGACAAATTTATTCACAACATCCTTGAAGTAATGGCAGCAAACATTAGTGAATTAGCTACTGATCAGAAGGACTTGTGAAGGAGGTGGTGAATGACGGATGGTAAAGAATAAAAGTCACTTTCATTGAGAGTTTTGGGAATAATATGACACATACTTAATGCATTCGGGAATTTCAGGGCTATTCTTAGGATCAGGGAGTTCAGCAGGACACAAATTAGGAACTGTCATTTAAATCTATGCAAAGAGTAGACATGGTGTACAACTAAGCTAAACCTCCATGGCACATTGGTGCTTTGACGTATACTTGAAGTACCCGAAGGACTAAAGCTAATTTTTGCAATAGCCTCCAAGTTCAATTAATTAAGATCAGTTTTCCTTGTCATGTTGGCACGAGAATGCTATTTCTTTCGAAAGATCCCGACGTCTCATCTTATTGTGCAGAACACTTACGCTTTTTGACCGGGGCTCCCATTCTCTTTTTCGCAAGGTAAGAGGTCTAGGTATATTAATTTTTTCAATTTTCAGATTTTCACTAGACATTATCCCATTCTAATCTCGGCCTCACCAAGGAAAATTAGTAATTAAAGTTCATTTAAACAGGTGAATCCATGCCTACAATGCAATCATCGAAAGTATCAAATTCCTAAAAAGTGACTGCTCTTACCCCATTTGGGGCATAGGAACAGTGTCACTCGGACTCCTACAAAAATTCCCTTAACTTAGCAAACCAATCCCCTAGTTCCCTAAACACCAAGACTATGTCAGAATTGTTCACGGGTAAGAAAACAGGCCCTTTGGCTATGGAGCTTAATTAATTGGGTAAAGAATAAACGATCAGATTCAAAATGGCTTCTCCTAAAGGGCTTATTCAGGTCAGGTGGATGATTTGTGAAACGATTCAATGGGTGACTAATGCCTTCATCCTTTCAACAACTAGATTACCATGAAAGCAGTTTAAGCCTAGACACTTCAAGGATGTCCTAAAAGCATAGTCAAAACGTTAGCCAGCTCACAAAGACACAGTTTAAAGAAAACTCACATAAGTTTTTTGCGCCGTTGCCGGGAACGGTATCGGTTTTTAGGATTAATTAATTTCAGTGATGTTTTTTTATGTAGTTTTTCCTTTTATTCGGTAGGATTTTTCTATACTAACCTTTCAGGTATTTTTTTAAGAGGCATGAGATGAACACATTCAGCCAATTTCCAGGAGGAATTGCTTACCCTCAAACCTCCATGGAATATTCATCATATACGCCAGACCCTTATTACACTCCTCCTCAATATTACACTTCTCACCATTATTACTCTCCTCCACCACAAAATATTCCATCTTCCTATTCTTACCCTCCTCCAAATACGCAACATTCTCAATGTCATTCCTCTCATTATCCTTATCCACAATATCCCAGGGCAAGACCAGGCAGCATGCTTTATTATCTTGTTAAAAATAAAAGTCCTAAGGAATTGATTGATTGCTTTCCTAAAAATAGAACTTGTTACTTTTGTGGAGGAGGTCACCATTTATGTCTTTGCTTCATTCCTCCATACGACCATCTGTACCCAACTTACTCCTTCCCGCAATTTGCAAAAACAAAAGTTTCGGCCATTCCTATGTCTCCACAAAGTACTGAGCCACAGAATCAGTGTAAGAAGACACTTTCAGAGACTGTGTCTGAGTACCTAGAGATTACGAGGGAGAGCTATTCATCCATGGAGCAGAGCACTTCAAACATCATGAAGCATATAAATAC